TCCGGCTCTGGTTCCATTGGCGGCTCCGGCTCTGGCTCCGGCTCTATCGGCGGATCAGGCTCCGGCTCCGGTCACGGCTCTGGCTCTGGCTCTGGCTCTGGCTCTGGCTCTGGCTCTGGCTCCGGCTCCGGCTCCGGCTCTGGTGCTGGTGCTGCGACCACCCCTTGTGAGACTCTTACCGGTGAGACTGTTGTACCCGTTGCTACCCACACCCAGGGCGGTTCTTCCCCCAGCGCTCCTGCCGGTAACAATGGCGGCTCTCCTAGCGGTGCTGCTACTACCCCTTGCGAGACTCTCACTGGCGAGACGGTTGTTCCCGTTGCCACCAACACTGCTGGTGGTTCCTCTCCTAGCGCCCCTGCTGGCAACAACGGCGGCTCCCCTAGCGGTGCTTCTCCTACCGGTGGTGTTCCTAGCGGCAGCTCCAGCGGTTCCTCCGGCAGCTCCAGCGGTTCTTCCAGCGGCTCCGGCTCCGGCTCCAGCGGCAGCTCCAGCGGTTCTTCTGGCAGCTCCAACGGCTCCGGCTCCAGCGGCAGCTCCAGCGGCTCCTCTGGCTCTTCTCCCAACGGCGGCTCCAACGGTGCTTCTCCTAGCGGTGCCAGCGCCGATTCTGCCACTACTCCTTGTGACACCATTGTCAGCGAGACTGTTATCCCTGTTGCTACCAACACTGAGGGTGGCTCTGTCCCAACTGCTCCTGCTCAGACTGGTGCTGTCCCCACTGGCACCGCTCCCGCTGGCGGTGCTGCTCCCTCTGGTGCTGCTCCTTCCGGTGCCGCTCCCTCGGGTGGTGCTGCCGGCGGTGCTGGTGGTGATGCCTCCGCCACTCCTTGCGAAACCTCCGTTAGCGAGACTGTCGTTCCTGTCGGTACCCAGACTGTGGGTGGCTCTGGTGCCGCTCCTTCTGGTGGCGCCGCTGGTGGTGAGGCCCCCTCTGGTGTTGCCAGCGTTCCTGCTGTCCCTACTTCCAGCACTGTCCCTGAGGGCGCCAGCGCTGACTCCACCACCACTCCTTGCGACACCCTTGTTACTGAGACTGTCATCCCTGTTGCTACTCAGACTGAGGGCTCTCCTGCCCCCAGCGGCACCGCCGCTGAGGGAGGCTCCGCCCCTCAGATTACCACCGCTCCTGTCGCAGGCTCCGGCTCCGGCTCCGGCTCTGACGTGGTCACTGTCACTGTTACCACCACTGTGAGCGTTGCTGCTTGCGAGTAAGCAAGCCACCACCAACATACCCGACATGAGACGATAGCAACGGCATGCATGGCGAAGAAAGCTCCTGTATATACCTAATTCATTTCTAATTCTAATTCTTCTGAAGATTGTCTTAAGTGTCTGCCTCCTATCTTTGTACAAAGCTGCAACAGGCCAGAGGAACGATGTATTTGCTTTATTGTTGATATGTTCATTGCTGCAAACCCCCTTCAATGGAGTACATTCGTTTCCCGCGAGACTACCAAAAATATGTACTATCTGCCGACTGTGTATTATAGCTAAGGTTTTGGATAATCGAGGAAGATTCGATTCACTTGTTTTACTTTGGAGTAGTAGTAGTAGTAGGATTTACACAAGATGCCCAACTACTGCCTGGTATTTAATGTTGTTTTCTTAGTAATCCCAACATATCAGCACTCGCTTACTACCTACCCAGTTCCAACTGCCCAACAAGGCTCTCGATCATTACTTGCAAAGCCCAAACAATTTGCAGTAAGACGGATCAACACTCAATGCTTCCGTGCTTCCAGTTCGCTTCGAGGCTGTCCCTTTCAGCCCCAGTGTTGACGTCGCCTGATCGACAGCAATCCCGCCCCGATCAGCGTCCATCAGCATTTTTTGGTTGTGATTGCTACTTGCCTTTCCCGCCTGTTGTCCCCAAGCCACTAAGCACCAAGCACCAAGCACCAAGGCACCCTCGAGTGCCCATCCGCCTGCCTTGCAATTCGACTAAGCGAATGCAAAGCGGGCCGATCCCAATTCCCCTCCCCTTCCTGGCTCTGTCTTTCTTTCTTGTCTTCATCACATCACAGCCCTCTTCTCCCACGGTTGTTTCCAGGAATAGAATCAAGCCAGACCTCTAGGAGGAACAGGACGAAGCCGGAAGGAGCGGAAGGAGCGGCAGCAGCAGCAGCAGCAGCGGAAGCTCGTCTGGATAGTGTACAGTACAAGGCTCAGTAACTGCTGGGATCAATCGCACCATCATTATACTATGTAGTACAGTACATCTGCATCCGTGGCATACGGTACCCATCACCTTACCTGATCCAGTAACCACCACGAGAACGAGTCTAGATTCCCTCTACCTTTTCCTTTCTTCTTTTTTTTTTTCTTTTTTCTTATTTTTTTTTGTGATGAGAAAAACAATTCAAAGAAAGAAAACAACAAGAAGAAAAGAAACCGACAGGCACAGGTACAGGGGCAGGGAAAGGGTTGGAGAATCCCTGTCAGCAAACCGGTCAACCACTCAGTTGAATGTGCGGAGTAGGGAGTAGGTGCTTTGCCCATTCTGTATTGTGAGAAGAGGTTACGGTTACGTACTGAGCTACAGTACATACTCATACTACAGAGTACTATGAGTAAGACATGCATGCATGGCATGCATTTCCTTCCTCGCACTAGACCAGGGGATACCCAGGACGCCCTAGACTACCTACCTAGTAGGGAGATGGCACTGACTTACCACAATCTACGCATGCAGCTTCAAATTGGAGGGGGCACACGGGGCTAGATGGAAATTGTTAATAACTCAATGTCACTAAGGTTATTAATTTTGATTGTGTCGATAGTCGTTCTAGGTACGGAGTACATACAGTATCTCTGAAATCAGTAGTTTTGTAGAAGCTAAGTTAGTTATCTTGTGCATACCTGTACTCTACTGTAACTTACCCATCCCTTTCCATAGAAGATTAATCAGGACAAAAGAGCAGGGATACTTCCTACCTTCATGTTACGAGTAAGTACTCCGTACTGAGTGTCCACATAGTGACAAGGAGAAGCCAAGACAAAAATTCGATGCAAATGTGCAGTGAGTTCGGGGGGGGGGGGGGGGATGTTTGTTTACCCTCGTTCCCACCCGGCCGCTGCCTGCTGCTGCTGCTGCTGCTGCATCCACCCATTCATTGCCCTGCTCCAGCAGAATAAACACTACAACAAAACAAAGTTACCAAGCAAGTCCAGGTTATCGACTATTGCCTTAGCTATACTCCACCAGACCGACACCCCTTCTAGAACCTAGTCTCGACCCCAATTCCTCCAAAGACCAACCAACCCCTTCGGATCCGACAGGAAGTCAACAAGCTAGCTACTACTACTTAAGCCCGTGCTCATTATTGAGCACAGCACAGCATAACGGCGCGCGTGCGGAGTAGCCTGCTAGCCTAGCCAGAAAGAAAAAGGGGAACCGCGGAGAACTCGTACCGACGGCGTGGTAGCACCCCCCCTTTTTGGGGGGGAGGGGGGGGGGGGTCAATTCGGTCGAAGCTTGCACTTAATTGAGGGCACGGATATATCACTGCTCTTCCGAAAAGAGTTGATGGAAATATGGAGGAAGGAACTTGCCCCCCCCCTCCCCCCTCCTTGACCTCGTGGTCGGTGGGCGGCTGTAGATCCCAAAAACGGGCAGCTTGTCTTAAGGCTGGCTCCGAACTCTAAGATATTAAACTATCAACATTAACGGGTGGGGGTGGGAGGTTGAAGACAGACTATTGAGCTGGGAAACGTGGTTCTGGAATTGCATCAAAGGCCCGACGGCTGGAATATGGTGTATTTTCTTTTCCTTTTCTTTTTTTCTTTTGGCACTATAACCGACTATTTGGCCGGCTAGAAAAAGAGAAGCATATACTCGGGGTTGTTACCAGAAAAAACAAATAGTCGGGACAAAAAAGGAAGTGTAACGGTTAGCCAATGGCTCTCTTTTTGACATTCTCTCTCGCATTAGAACTACCGAAATTTCGTAATGTCCATTCATTTTCATGTGCGGTGTGCCGTGCTGCCATGCCATGCCTCCGCGGGATGTTCCTGAGGTCTCTCTCTATTCGGATGGTTTCGAATGGTTAAGCCTACCTACCTTGTCGCTCGAGGCGGTACGGCGCTTGGCGACTAGCTGTTCGCGAAGGATCCTCTCGCGTAATTCCGAGTTGGATATGCGGGCGTGGGTAGATCTGGAGGGAGCAGGCTAGACAGATACAATCGTCATGTTAGCTTCGTTCCACGGTGACCAACAGAATCAAGAGGGGCGTTTAGAATATTTAACGGACATCATGAAATAAGGCCATATGAATAGCTTTTTTGGTGGTGGTGGATTTTTCTCCTCGAAAAAATTTATTCACCCACCTCGTCGGCTTCCTTCATCTCCTGATCGCTGCTGCCGCTCGGTCTCTCGGCTGGCGGTTCAGGTCGGCTTGTCGCTTCATTATCATCAGCCATCCTCTGTCGTTTGTCACCAGGAGCGGACACGGAAGACGTATCGCGCCGTTTCCGGCCGGCGGGGGCATATCTCTCGATAGAACGACGTCTTTTGCGATCCCTTGCGTGGCCTCCCCGACTATGGCTCCGGCTGCGACTGCGCGAGTCCTGACTGGCGCTGCGGGACCGGCCTCGGCTGCGGCTGCGGCTGCGGCTGCGATCGCGGTTGTACCCCCGCGAGGAGTGTCGGCGTCTGCGGTGGTCATCGCGACTTCTACTGCGGCTCAAGCGGCGGTCATCACGGGGTTTGCGGGCCTTGGCAATATCAGCGGTAAGTTCTCTCTTATCAACTCGTGAAGAATAAGGCGAAGATCTCCTCCGTCGTCGGGCGCCGCTGGCATTCGACCCGGGCGACCTGGAACGCGAGCGGGACCCCGACGAGTCCCGTCGTCTGCCTTTATCTCTCACGCCGCGCGAGCGCGAGCGCGAGCGCGATACACTGCGGGAAGAGACGGATCTCCGTCTTCTGCGGTCGCGGTCTCTTCTGGGAGTACGTGAGCGGGAGGATGAATGACTGCGGGAATGGGATCTTGCGCGATCACCGTAATCAGGGCTGCGTCTTCGGGGCCGTCGGCTGCGGTCTCCGCGGTCCGGCGAGACGGATTTGCTGATGGAGCGACGTCGCCGGTTCCGGTCTCTACTCGAGTACCGCTGCTGGCGGCGCGGCGGCGGTGGTGACCGCGACGACGAGATGGATCGAGAACGTGAGCGGCTGGGGGAGTAGGAAGGCCGACGGCCTCTGCGAGGTCCGGAGGGAACGTACGAGTCAAACTCCCGCCGTCCAGGTGGCTCGCGGAAACGCTCTCTGCTACGACGCCGGGGAGGAGACCGCGGCCTTCTGTCGAAGTCCCGACCGCCACGGCCACCACCTCTTCTTGCGCCCCCTGGCCCCCCTCCTCCTCGCCCACGCTCAGAGCGCTCTCTGCGTCTGATGTCCTCCAGTTCTCTCTCCCTTGTACGTTCTTGCTCCTTCTGTTTGCGGGCTTCCTCGGCGGCCTTCTCGGCTTCGATCTGGAAAGGGCGAAGAGGTAAGTTGGCAGTCACATCAGGCACCGTTCGAGTTATCGCACCTTCTCTTGTATAAGTTCCAGCTTCTTGGCCTCCAACAGCTCCTTGGGAACACCCTGGGGATTTTCCTGAGCGCTCAGACATAGCGACCAGAGCTCCTTGCAAAACTTGGCGGTATCCTTGTCCAAGAAGCCCGTGAGCTGAATCTGAAGGGATTTGACATCGGGCTAGTGATTATCATAAAACAAAGCTCGGATTAGCGACACAACTCCCAGGAGAAGGCGCACTGCGTTCGCCGCAGAGCGGAGGGGGTGTAGAACAAGGACCGACATACAAACCGGGAACCTTCCAACAAGTTGAAACAGAGCTCGATGACAACATCATCTTCGTTGCCCAAGATTTCGGAAATCTTGCCGGCAATCCACCTACCAGTACAAAAAAGAATAGTCAGTAACCATTACTTTTCCTTCGGTAAATGTGCTTTCGGCCCGATAAAGATCATCCGGAGAGGGAAGGGTGGGTTCACGACGACGTACTTCTTCATGACTTCGATATTCACTTTCTTCATGTCCACCTTGCGGCTGAATTCCGGCGGGAATTTGGTCTGCCTCAGCAGCTTGGCGTCCACGCTTGTCGCCATCTTTTCGCGAAAGATGTGACCCTGAAAAGGAATGAAGAGCGGGAAATTAGTAAGTCTGGAGAGGGCTGAGACATTTGGAACGGAGGGAGCGAAACGGTCGTGAGTG